AAATAAGTAAAATATTTATTAGAAAAATAAGTCACGTAACTTTCATTTATATCAAGGTGTACAGAATATAATATCCAATTCCAACTCAAATTTTTAATATTCAGGTATACAAGTACAAGATTTATTAGAAGTCACCGGCTTTGACTCACAGTCACAGAAGATAAGTCAATTATTGCGCAAAAGATAAAGTCCAACTTTATTCATTGTAGCTCTCGAATTTGAGTGGACAAGTGTACACACAGTCATCTATTTACCTGCGTCCTGCTATGCAACGGCTTTATCTTAAAAGGGATTACAAGGAAGGCAATAGGACTTTATTAAGCCGTATTATTGCTCTTAAAATACAAAAAACTAAATGAAAAATATAATAAAAAAGAATTAAAAATGTATCAGAAAAGTTTTCATTGAAAAATAAAGTAAATATTTATATTTTAGAAAATGTTTTTCCCTTTTCGGCCGGATTAATTAAAGGCCTGAAGTAAGGTGCCGCGGCGTCTAATTTCCCTTCGGCAGCGGTTTACGGTTTGCTGAAAGCTAAATTCTAAAGTCTGCCATGTAATTTGGCAGTCCTGGGAGTAGACTATAGTCTACGCGGCCATATCATGTTGAAAGCACCAGTGCTCGTCTGATCACTGAAGTTAATTAACATTGAGCTAAGTTAGTACTTGGATGGGTGACCGCCTGGGAATACTTCGTGCAATGCCGTAGGCCTTAACTTTACATATGGGGTGCCCGCCTTTGGATGTTCAGATCAATCAAAGGAGTAGACTTATATGGAGTGGACTCCAATGCTAGATTGATGACGCATGAGATTATTAAAATATGCTTTTTGTTTTAAAATTAACATTTCATTGAAATAATCTTTCATTTTTCAGAATGATGTAAAGCGATGAATAGTTTAAACAATAAATTTTATTAGTCATTAAAAATGAGTATCAGTTTGTTACCTACAGAACTTCTTGTAAAAATATTTAATTATTTGTGTATTGAAACTCAGATAAGAGTTGAAGCAACCTGCTTCAGATGGAGAAATATTATTATTCAAAATTTCTTCCTTCCCTTCCTACTTCGACAACCATATTCTATCAGGTATATATGCGGGTCTGTCACGGAGAACGATTATGCAGTGCTCGGCCCAGAATTATAACCAAACCTATCAATTCAGCAGTAGTAAGGGATTCTCGTTATATTCCGAGAGAACGATTTTTGGATCCCCCCGCCCCCTCCTATCAATTTTGACATGGATCTTACAGGAAGTGTCTTAACTTAACCTAATCCGTGGCCACAGCGCTCGGCCCCCTAGCCTGTCCTAGCCGGGGTCCAAAAACCGTTCACTAGGACAGACCCCTCTTGCACAGTCTTTGTTCGAGAAAATTAAACTTTCTTCGATTTCCCTTTTTTTTAATTTCCTTCAAAAAAGCAGTGCTTATGATCCTATTAATTTTGATGCGGATCCGGATCCTGGATCCGCCCTGAAAAAAAATGATCCGGAACCAATTCCAGGTTATTTCTTTAAAATTTAATTATCTCTTTTAACAAAGCAGAATTTTTAAATTTTTTGATTTATTTTTTCGCTTATTTTTTTTTTTTAAACTTGGTCAACCATTCAGAAATCAGGAAATTTTTATAATATCTCTTTTTTCAATAGTTCACATTTGGGTCTGAGAGTAAACATTTCTGCAGTTTTTGGTTGATATTTCGCCTCTTGGATCCGGATTCTTAGATCCGAATATTTTGAGCATCTGGATTCAGGAAGCCAAAATCTTGCGGGATCCTAAGTTTTGATAAAAAATTTAAAAAGCTATATTTTGATTATTTTCTATATTTATTATTTATGCATTTTAGGAAAAATTATCTTGGTGAAGGATGGGTTGACAAAGTGTCTAATAGTCCTGAGAAGATAAGAAAGTTGTTTTATCATGTTTATCATGATCTACCAAGGAACTGGAGAGAAGGAGGGTTCAAAGTTCAAGCTAGGAAACAAATAGCTGAATACAGGTTGGAATACAATTATTTAACTTATTCTAAAGTTTGAAAAAGATACTCAACAGTGAATGATTAAGAATGGTTTGTGTGAATTGCGAACTTTTTAAAGTCTTTTTTGCCCAATTTTATTCTTTAAGGCAATACAATAAATTGGAACTGGGGAACATAATAATTTTTTTTTATTTCAAACTCTATTTTTAAATTTCTTATTTTTTTACAATATTTGAGTTTCTTCCTTACAGTTTTGAAAATTATTACGAGCGGAACCCCAATTGCTTTTTTTCTGTGATGATGCTTCAAGAAAATAAAGTTAATTTTAATTGTCAACTATGGTACTTGATTTATTTATAATTTCAGTCCGGGCCATGATCAAAAGATTTCTTCCATAGCAGTTTACCAGGTATCATCATAGACTTTTACAGCTTAAACATTCTTATTTAACAGAAGCTAAGAGATCGTTCAAATATTTTTAAACTGAAGGCCTAAAAAGAATTTCCACTAAATTTAAACTTGTTGTTTTTTGATAATTTATATTTATTTTTATTTATTTAACTAGACAATACTTGATAATTTAGATCAGGTTAACTTTACACATGACATGTTAATTAGAATTTATAATCTAAAATTGTATTCTAGGATTGTATTCTAGAATTGTATTCTAGGAGTGTAATCTAGGATTGTACTTAAGGATTTTATTCTAAGAGTGTACTCTAGGATTGTATTCTAGGATTGCATTCTAGGATTGTGTTATAGGAGTGTATTCTAGGATTGTATTCTAGGAGTATATTCTAGGAGTGTATTCTAGAAGTGTATTTTATGATTGTATTCTAGGATTGTATTATAGGAGTATTCTAGGATTGTATTCTAGGATTGTATAATAGGAGTGTATTCTAGGATTGTATTTTAGGGAGTGAATTCTAGGATTGTATTATAGGACTGTATTCTAGGATGTATTCTTGGATTGTATTCTAGGATTGTATTCTAGGACTATATTCTAGAATTGCATTCTAGAATTGTATTCTAGGATTGTATTCTAGGATTGTATTCTAGGATTGTATTCTAGGATAAGATATATCTTGGCAGACCTGGATACGGAGTAGAGGTTTTGGATTCTCTGAAGCTCTCCAGTATCCGAACCCTGGATACTAGGCTGGATCCAGCCGAAGAAGATTTACAAGAATCTCGGAGGTATACATTTTTTCCAGATAAATCTTTTCTTGGTTATTATTTTTTATGCGTCTAACATTTCACTGAATTTTATTATATTTTGTCGAAAACTAGAAGAAAATATGAGAATGACATAACATCAAATTCACATGATTTTTAGATGTCGTCGTGCAATTCCACAGTTTTATGGATACCACTGTGTTGGAAGTTATTTTCGAAACTTAGGTTGGGGGGGGGGGGGAGGGGGAATCAGGACTGATATTCCTACCATACTCCTACCTGGAGTCCTTGGAATTCCATCACGAGTAAACAAGTAAATAACTAATTAAATTTTTTTTTACTTATTATAAAAAATTAGTTTAGTTTCAATTAAAATTGAAACTTTGTGTTGGAAATTTATTTCATTCCATCTATATATAAATTTGGCTTGTCTGTCTGTCTGTCTGTTTGTATCCAATAAACGTCAAAACGGCTGAACCGATCGGGCCCAAATTTTTTGTGGGACATCTAGGGACCCCAGGGAAGGTTTTTGAATGATTGAAATTTTAAATATTTGTCTCCAGCAAAATTCGATCGTCATTAAATTTTTCAAAATTTTGAAAATCCACGAAATTTTTTGTGAAAATCCGCGAATTATTTTTGTTTTGTTTTACGTTGTACACAAAGAGAACATGTTCATAATTAATTTAGAAGATGGGCGCGAAGCGCCCTCTAAGGCTAGCTCCATACATTATGAGACAATTGAATTTGAGGATTGGGGGTTAAAAATGTTCAATTGAAAATCCTGCTTTTTTTGCATTATTGATTGTTTATTTCTAAATTGGGTGTTTTCTTTACTTCTTTTTACATATTTACAAATTGAAATTTTATTTTGTTTCAGACCTTGCAAAGTATATGAGCACGGTAGAACCCTAGCAGTCCTTGGTCCGGATAGAACCAGGGTTCTACTCTTCAATACTCGAACAGATGAGATGGTTGGAGCCATAGATACTGCTCTCGGATCAATCTATCATGTTGCCATATCAGAGAAACTATTAATTCTTCTCTCAGGAAAGTTCAGATTTTAATGATCATTTCCTAAAATATTTCCAACCAAGATAGGTTTTAAATTTACGGATTTAAAAGGAAAAATTGAACTTACTTTGATTCAAAAATTCATTTTATAGAATTAAAAAAAAAATAATTTCTATCTCTATTATTTAAATTACTAACCAAGTATTCATATTGTTATTTTGTAGAAAAATACCAAAAAGAAAGGAAATTTATCAAGTTAGAGCATCATTACAACCCCTCCCCTAAAGCCATTGGGTAGGTAACAAGAATATCTGTTAATTTTGTAAAAAGTAACTTGAAATGTTATATCATTTCCTTTTAAAATCTTGAAGTAATCTTGAACTGTCAATCCTGAAGGTTGGTCAATATTCTACTGGAGAATAGACTCCTGGTCTCCAGAACGGGTCCGTGGAGAGTTTCGTGGCTGTATCCCGGATTTTGAGAACGATGCCCATTTCAAGACCTGGCTGGAATCCCATGAAGCAGTTGTCAATTCATCCTGGCTTGTCACCCGGGCAACAAGGATGGGAGTTCTAGGTAAATATTTCTATCTTTTCTGCATCCTTAATTTTGAAGCCTGGAATAAAATATTCCACAAAGAAAAAAATCGTATGTGTGTTATGTTCCTAATAAATACCTCCTTATTTTTCAGTTCAGAGGGCCTTTTACCTCCTTCTTTGAAAACAATCCTGAGTTGGTTTAATTGTAAACATGTATACCCCTTTGTTTTTTTGTTAATCTTTTTTCAAATAAAAAATAACAGGTTGATTGTTTAGAGGAAGGAGGTGGTTTGAAAATGAAGCACTTTCTACACGTGAGACAAGTTTATCCAAGTGGTACGATTGGTCCTGTACTGCGTCCTAACAGGTTAAACAGATATACCCAGTCCTAGAGGAGTGCTGAGTGAAAAGATTTTTAGCTTTTAGACTATTATTTTATTTAAAAAACCACTTCAATTGAACTATTTTGATTTCAATATTAAATTTTTAGTCTCTATTATACAGTTTTAGTCCCCGTCTTCCTGATACAGTTTCTTTTAGTTCCCGTCTCCCTGATACAGTTTATTTTAGTCCCCGTCTTCCTGATACAGTTTATTTTAGTTCCCGTCTTCCTGATACAGTTTATTTCAGTTCCCGTCTTCCTGATGCAGTTTATTTTAGTTCCCGTCTTCCTGATGCAGTTTCTTTTTGTTCCCGTCTTCCTGATAAAGTTTATTTCAGTTCCCGTCTTCCTGATGCAGTTTATTTTAGTTCCCGTCTTCCTGATACAGTTTATTTTAGTTCCCGTCTTCCTGATACAGTTTATTTTAGTTCCCGTCTTCCTGATGCAGTTTATTTTAGTTCCCGTCTTCCTGATACAGTTTATTTCAGTTCCCGTCTTCCTGATACAGTATATGAGATGACCAGCATGGCTTTATCAGAGGCAGATTTGCTAGCTGTCGGTTATAGAGTGCTGGACAAGGTAATAAAACAATATGTTTAAATTCAGAATATTTTTTTGTAAAATTCGAATGAACATTGGGAAGAGAAAAATTAACTTGCAACATTTTTTTTCCTTTTTTATTTGTGTTTCTCAAATCTTTCTCCGGACGAGCGCGATTTTTAAAGGTTCTTTACGTTTTTTTCCTGTGGGGAAGATAAAGCAGTTTTTACCCCTGGATATTTATAATTATATATAGATCTTTTCTTTTGGGAGGGAAACCACTTGAACCTTAATGAAGAAAATTTAAGTTTTTCAGTTTACTTTTTTTACGTTATTTAAATATTTTTTTAAAAATTCACACTATTTGTTCTTTTGTGATAGGGCGAGGTTTGTATTCTAGACTTGAATACAGGAGATACTATTCATAATATCACTTCGGAATACTTTCTCGCATCAATACAGGTAATCAATAAATCAATCAATTATTAAATCAATTGATCAATCAACCAATTTACAGATATGCCTGGTCTTAGGATCCAATATCTAAATGAAGTCAATATCCTGGAGCCGCAGTTACAATTAAAAATGACCAAGTTTCAAGGTTTTAAACATGAAAAACTCATTCGTTCTGGATTATTCAAAGCTTTTGTACTGTTCTGGATCGAACATGCCACTCAGAGTAGTTTGGGTTTTTCCTGCTTTTTTAAAACTACTTTTTGTCAAGATTCCGTTGAAGTTTGATGGATCCAAGCTTTTCCTGAAAATAATTCCCATTACAAGGCCAACCAATGACGAGGTAAGATGGCAATTTTGAAAGAATAAAAAATTAGATTAAAGAAAAAAATTACGTCACATTACAATTTATTTTTGGAGAAAAGATATAGTTTATTAAAATAAAACAACAAGGTGACATTTTCCAAGACTAAACTAGCAGTCACCTGTGTAAACTGAGAACTAATACAGTTAGGAAGCCTATCAACAAATGGAAAAATTATAAATAATATTTTTTTTTAATGGTTTTGAAAATTAATTTCCCGAACATCTGCACAAATCTTTTTCGCACAATATCCATATTTGTATAACATTCAAATCCACGGGCAACGCTGGGCCCTTCAGCTATACTGTGTAAGTCCTGAGAATGAACTAAACCATAATCAACTATTTAGTGTGGTGCTTCTATTGGATACCTGGATCTGAAAAGTAAAGAGGTTGTCGAGGTTCCAGGAATATCCCTTAATAGTTCAGAGGATGTTCTTCATCTTGAACCTGCGCAACTATACACTGTAGCAACTAAATTAGAACGTGTAGATTCACAGAGGTAAAAATTTAACTTTTTGCTTTGATATTGAATATTTAGCCCGTATTTAGCTACCAACTTTCAACCAAATTATGTAAATTGGGGAAAAAACTCTTGGTGGTGATTTTCAGTAAATTTTTTTATTTATTTTGTAGAAAGTTTAGTCTTGAATAATGCCCCAGACCCCTCTTTTATCTTGAAATTATATAATTCTATCCTCGTAAACAACTAAAGTACAATGTGTAAATCATGATATTTTGTTTCAGTGAGTTTAGTCATATTGACCTGAACATGGATCTTGAAGCATTTGCTCTGATTGAGAGTGAAAACGAGGATTTTGCTCCGGTATACTCTGTAACCGTCACAGTTTTAGACTTCTGGAATAGTTCATCCAGTCCTTCATCTTCATCCTCGTCTCATCAAACAGAATCCTATGATTCAACTAGTTTTTCTACATCCACATCATCATCCCATCCAAACAATCCATCGTCATCCTCTTCAGTATTTCATCGAAACCATCCATCTTCATCCTCTTGAGCTTTCCATCCAACCAATCCATCTCCTTCCTCCTTATAAGCATTCCTCCAACCAATCTATTTCCATTATCCTCAGCATTCCATCCAACCAACCATTCTTCATCCTCCTGAGCATTCCATTCAAACAATTTATCTTCATTTTCCTCAGCATTCCATCCAACCAATCATTCTCCATTCTCCTAAGCTCAAAAGCCAATAAACAAGAAATTTAGTTTTAAGTCTCAAAAAACGCAAAAAAGAACATGGGTAATATATGAAGTGTTCACACATGTACAGCACATTGACAACAATATGAAAAAGCTATGATTAGTTTGGGTTAAATAATTGATTTTGTGAAATTTAGTCTACAAAATTCTTTTGTGCTTGGAATTCATCGTTAAAACAGTTATTTATCAAAAGAAATTGGTACGTAATTTTTAAAACATTTGTTCCTGAACAAAGAAAACTCTATAATATTAGTTTCCTGATTTTCTAGACTGTGATATTGATTCTAGTTTGTTATTATCTGTTAATATATTATTACAGAGAGAATGTCAGGGATAGCCCAGGCTAGATTATCAGAGGAGAGAAAGGCGTGGAGGAAAGATCATCCATTCGGGTCAGTATTCTAGAGAAAGAAAAAAACTAATCAAACCAGTATAAATTATATGTTTAACCAGTTTCATATAATTTTGGGAAAAAAACCTTCGCTCTCATTTAAAAGGAGAGGTGTGGACGGAGGAGCTATTGTATTCTAGGATTGTATTCTAGGATTGTATTCTAGGATTGTATTCTAGGATTGCATTCTAGGATTGTGTTATAGGAGTGTATTCTAGGATTGTATTCTAGAATTGTATTCTAGGAGTGTAATCTAGGATTGTACTTAAGGATTTTATTCTAAGAGTGTACTCTAGGATTGTATTCTAGGATTGCATTCTAGGATTGTGTTATAGGAGTGTATTCTAGGATTGTATTCTAGGAGTATATTCTAGGAGTGTATTCTAGAAGTGTATTTTATGATTGTATTCTAGGATTGTATTATAGGAGTATTCTAGGATTGTATTCTAGGATTGTATAATAGGAGTGTATTCTAGGATTGTATTTTAGGGAGTGAATTCTAGGATTGTATTATAGGACTGTATTCTAGGATGTATTCTTGGATTGTATTCTAGGATTGTATTCTAGGACTATATTCTAGAATTGCATTCTAGAATTGTATTCTAGGATTGTATTCTAGGATTGTATTCTAGGATTGTATTCTAGGATAAGATATATCTTGGCAGACCTGGATACGGAGTAGAGGTTTTGGATTCTCTGAAGCTCTCCAGTATCCGAACCCTGGATACTAGGCTGGATCCAGCCGAAGAAGATTTACAAGAATCTCGGAGGTATACATTTTTTCCAGATAAATCTTTTCTTGGTTATTATTTTTTATGCGTCTAACATTTCACTGAATTTTATTATATTTTGTCGAAAACTAGAAGAAAATATGAGAATGACATAACATCAAATTCACATGATTTTTAGATGTCGTCGTGCAATTCCACAGTTTTATGGATACCACTGTGTTGGAAGTTATTTTCGAAACTTAGGTTGGGGGGGGGGGGGAGGGGGAATCAGGACTGATATTCCTACCATACTCCTACCTGGAGTCCTTGGAATTCCATCACGAGTAAACAAGTAAATAACTAATTAAATTTTTTTTTACTTATTATAAAAAATTAGTTTAGTTTCAATTAAAATTGAAACTTTGTGTTGGAAATTTATTTCATTCCATCTATATATAAATTTGGCTTGTCTGTCTGTCTGTCTGTTTGTATCCAATAAACGTCAAAACGGCTGAACCGATCGGGCCCAAATTTTTTGTGGGACATCTAGGGACCCCAGGGAAGGTTTTTGAATGATTGAAATTTTAAATATTTGTCTCCAGCAAAATTCGATCGTCATTAAATTTTTCAAAATTTTGAAAATATATATATTAGAATGATTTCAATATTTTCTCTTAATTTTCAATGTAGAAATACCCAACCCATATGATCTGTATATATTCATTATTCAACAATATCGAATTAATTTTCTGTTCCACAAGGTTAAATATTTTATATAGTAAATTGTACCGCCTAAGAAATACCTTTATTAAGAAAAACGTTATTTTTGGGCTCATATTACTTCAAATTTACTATATCATTAAGAAAGATATGTGTTATGTTTAGTTATATTGCGCGCCCTATGAAGAACACTGACGGGTCGATGAACCTGATGCTGTGGGAGTACGCTATCCCTGGAAAGAAGGGAACCCCCTGGGAGGGAGGTCTGTACAAGGGACAGTTGATCTTCAAGGACGACTACCCCAGCACTCCACCTAAAGTCAAGTTTGTTCCTCCACTTTTCCACCCGAATGTTTATCCTTCAGGAACAGGTTGGTTCAACCGTTTTTAGAATTAATCTAATTATTTTCAGTTTTTTTCTTAAAAAATTGTCAACATTGACATGCCCGATTATCAAGTGTACTATTTAAATCCTTTTCGAGCAAAATTTATGTAGATTTTCTATTTTAATTGAAAAGAAGTGATATTAATTGCGATTTCTCGTAAAAGTGAATTACGGATTTATGCAGAATAGACAAGGAAGGAAATTTAAAGAAAAAGACTAAATCTTCCCGATTGAAATTCAGACTAATTTGTAAAGAACTGTTGCGAATCGGATATATATAACTATTAATGGAGGCGCACTTAAACTTGTGTCGACAATCCCTTTACATTAAATATTGTAGTGTGTTTATCCTTGTTGGATGAAGAGAAGGATTGGAGACCAGCAATCACAATCAAACAAATCCTTCTAGGGATCCAGGTACAATAGTAAACAAATCCTTCGTGGGATCCATGTACAATAGTAAACAAATCCTTCTAGGGATCCAGGTAAAATAGTTAACACATCCTTCTAGGGATCCAGGTATAATAGTAATCACATCTTTCTAGGGATCCAGGTTCAATTGAAAACAAATCCTTCTAGGGATCCAGGTAAAATAGTAAACAAATCCTTCAAGGGATTTAAACAAATCCTTCTAGGGATTTAGGTAAGGATTCAGGTACAATAGTAAACAAATCCTTCTAGGGATTCAGGTACAACCGTAAACAAATCCTTTTAGGGATTTAGCTACAAAAGTTAACAAATCCTTCTAGGGATCCAGGTTCAATAGTAAACAAATTCTTCTAGGGATCCATGTTCAATAGTAAAAAAATCCTTCTAGGGATCCAGGTAAAATAGTAAACAAATCCTTCAAGGGATTTAAACAAATCCTTCTAGGGATTTAGGTAAGGATTCAGGTACAATAGTAAACAAATCCTTTAGGGATTCAGGTACAACCGTAAACTTCTAGGGATTTAGCTACAAAAGTTAACAAATCCTTCTAGGGATCCAGGTTCAATAGTAAACAAATTCTTTTAGGGATCCAGGTACAATGGTAAACAAATCCTTCTAGGGATTAAGGCACATAAGTAAATTAATTCTTCATGAGATTTAAGTACATTATTAATCAAATTCTAGGTTTATGTTCTAATGTGCTATTCTGATCAAATTACGACAATTAATATCGGCAAGCGTAACATTATTTGTTATGTATAACATTGTTTTAAAATGGTTAAAACTGGGATAAACTGTCGTAAGGGTAATGTATACTAATGCACGACAGGGGGGCTTGCTTAAAAGGAGGGCATGAAGAGTTCCGTAGTTCTAGTATTTTATATGTAAATAAATTATATATGTATTTAGGATTTGTTGAATGATCCTAATATCAAGGATCCTGCTCAAGCTGAAGCTTACACCTGCTACTGTCAGAACAGGGCTGATTACGAGAAGAGGGTTCGAGCACAAGCTAGAGCTATGGCGGTGGCGGAGTAAACATCTGCCCCTGTAGGAGTGGAAGGGGGGGGGGGTATCATCTGCCGTAGAATTTGGCAGAGGAGAGGGGTTTATAAAAAGGAGGTTTTAATTAGGAACCAAACTCAATTAAATCTCAACGTAATATTTTTACTTTGTAATTTCGACAACATAACTCTTTTGTATTAAAATCATGAAAATATAGTTTGTAGTTAACAATTATTATTATATATTATGTGGAGTAAGGAACAGTGCTGCCATCATGCGGACAGTTTATAAACAAACATGGCGTCCTGTCTGTACCCTAGCCCAGACACAAACACTGGCCATCTGATATACTGTAACCTTGCAGACAAAACGTCAGTTTCAAACAATATTTCAGAGGAATGGATATTTACACAAGAACATCGTAGATAAATACTGGATTTGAATATGGAGAAAGCAAGTAAAGCACTGAGACGGAGCGGGGTGAGAATTAAATCTATCGGAAGTGGACACAGTGAACTGCAGATGGTTATTTCTCAGCTCAAGGATGTCAGGGAAGAGACGATATGTTTAATTTAACTCAGAAATTATAAAAAGAGTTAAGAAACTTGGAAAATAACAGAAGAACATAAATTAACATGAAACTATTTAAAATGAGAAAATATGATGGTAATAGAAAATACGATAAGAAAAGATTTTGAATTAAAAATAGAGGAATCATAAAAAGAGAGATTTTAAAAAGAGAGAGTATTTGGGATAAATAATGGAGAACTATGAATTGATGGAAGAAAATATGAAAGAGAAGAGCAAATGTTACAAGAAAAGAGAAAATATGATGAGAGTAAAGAAACAATGGAAAGATTAAAGAAACAATGGAAAGAATAGAGAAAATATGATAAGAATAGAGAAATAATGAAAGTGTATATTGGAGAGAATCGGGAAATTTTGGAAAAGTAGAGAAATAATGGAGAGAATTGAGAAATTATGATAAGAATAGTTTAACAATGAAAAAAAAAGAGAAAATATGATAAGAATAGAGAAACAATGGAATGAATAAAGAAATAATGGAACAAATCGAGATAATATGATAAGAATAGAGAAATATAATAAGATTAGAGAAATATGATAAGAATAGAGAAATAATGAAAGAGTATATTGGAGAGAATAGGAAAATTTTGGAAAAGTAGAGAAATAATGGAGATAATTGAGAAATTATGATAAGAATAGTTTAACAATGAAAAAAAAAGAGAAAATATATTAGAGAAAATCGGGAAATTTTGGAAAGAATTGAGAAAATATGGAGAGAATTGAGAAATTATGAAAAGGATAGTTAAATTATAAAAACAATAGAGATATTCTGAAATGAAAGTAAATGTAAAGAAGAATAGAGTTATCAAGGAAAGAATAGAGAAATAATAGAGATTATGGAAACCATGGATAAAATCTTGTGAGAATAGAAAAAGTAATAAAATAACAAGAAGATGTTAAAGAAAAGAGATATATTGTAAAAGAAAAGAAAAATATTAAAACATTGAGCCGAAAAAAAAAATATAAATAATCGTTCACAATAGATTCCATTATAATTAATATTCACCCAGAAAGAAACCTATTTTTTTTTTCGTTTTTATCTGATCCTTTTCTATTTTCGTCTCTTATATTAGAGTTGCATCGAAAGGGTTTGCTACAGCTCAGAGTGCAGCTATGCAAGATCTGGTGAAATGGTCTCTCAAGGATGAAAACAGAGCAATTCAGGACGCTCTTACACAAGTAAATTTTAAGACATTTTTAAACCAACAATATATTTAAAATTGATCATTAATATTGCAAAATATGAAAAAATTTGTTATTAAGAATGATAAACTATTAATTAATTCCATAAATATGATTTCTGAAGGTTGGAGAACTGTTCTCTATATGGACTGAGGTTCAACGAGAATTCAACGACCATATGAAGGTTATCCTATCACACCGCTCAATTTGTATAGTTCTGTTGATACTGTTATACTCCAGTCTGAACACTACAATTACACTATACTCAATTCTTTGAACAATGTATGAGGTGCGTTCAACAAGTTTTGCGATACATTTTGTACTTTTAGACGTCTCATCCATGTACTTTTTTTCTGTTAAATCACTGTATTCATTCCTGTTGTCTTCTTTCAACTGGACCTTATTCATACAACTTTATTTCTATGTAATTCGCATTTTTCCGGAGGTTGTTTAGCTTCCATGTCACAGGACAGGTTCGTTTTTAATATCAACCCGGGAAAGAGGACACTTAGGAATACAAAGCAGACACCTTTAAAGTGATTCATAATGTACTAGAGGAGAAAATATGGACAAGTCTACATTGGACTAAGGGGGATAAAGTGTAATGGAGAATGTTGGCAGAAAGAGGAAATTTTTGAGCAGAAAAATCCACAAAAACCACTGAAACAGTCGACACAGTTAAAATTTGCTCAAACCAAATTCGCAAAGCTTCTTAGTTGATGAAGTTTGATGAGTTTGGGATCTGAAATGGTGCTGCAAACAAAGTTGTAAAGCAACATTTGAAAATTGAAAAAGATTTGGACAACATTTGCCCCAAAAAGGTCATAGGAAAAGATACTAATTTGTGTGCTGAAAGGTAGATTACAACTATAAAATCTTCAAGGACCCTTTCTACAATAAAGGCTTAACCTCCTTAGACTTTTAAAGTTTACACAACCTCGAGAACACGCATAAATGGATAAAGCTGTGACAAGCAACGTTTACGGGCTCCGGGAGAGAGATAATTGCGTCCAACATATTATCTGATCGACTTATATGGTCAGAAAATAGAACAATATAGTGAACTTAAAAAAATAATGGTCTGAGACGTCTAGAAGTGCATTTAAAATGTGTTTCGCAAAACTCATTGAACGCACCTCGTACATCATTGACAGTTACATGAACACTAAGAAATCTACGCTGTAAACTCTTACTGTTGACTTAATTGCACACATTTTACTGTTGAATGTGCAGTACATTCAAAGTTCCCTATTAATCGTTCAAATTAAAACCCTTTACTTTTAATTGTATCATTTAAATAGTGTACTTAATTATAGTATATTGTACAGTGTATCATAAATTGCAGAATAGAAAACAAGACTTTTTTTATAACTTGTTTAATATTAAGGAGTTTCGTTATCAGTTTGAGATGATACTGGAAGGTGCCCGGCAGCTAGACGTGGCCCGGTCAACTCTCCTTGGGGCAGAACAGAAGGAAACTAGGATTAAAAAAGAACTGAAGAAAGCTGCCAAAAAAGCAACAGCAGAGGAGATCAGAGAAATGTCGGGAAGGTAATTAGACAATTTATATTTAGTATTTGAAGAAGTTTAGAGAGAGAGAAAAATACGTTTTTTTAATTTGTAAACTGTGACTTTCTGATCATCATTTTTGTTTTAGGAAAACTTGACTTTTTTTCATTGCGACCCAAAAATATTAAATTACTTAGGGCATAAAATTCTTGTCATTCTTACACCTAAATCTAACAAGAGGTGAAAATTAAATAAGTTTTACAGGAAAAAAAAACAATGCTTATCTGTAGCACGCAAACTGGATCAAAAAAAAAAATGCTTATGATTATTTTGCAAAAAAATATGTGCCAAAAAAATTGAATGATAATGAAAGATGATATTAAGATTAACGGAGGCGGAACGTGAGAAGGATATTGCTCAGCTGGAGGTGGTGGACAGGGTCAGGGAACACGAGGTCGTCAAGCTCATCAGGATTAAGGAGGGCGTCTTTAAGGTCCATTCATAATTCATTTCAAAACATTATAAAATATTTTTAGAATACTATTGAACAATAAATGCGCGGAATATTTTGAAAATAAAAACCATCTTTGAGAAAAACCAAACAGAAATGACAGGGTTTCAAAACTTCAAAAGACTTCTCAGTTATGGGATTCCGGATACCTAATTGCCAAAATGAAAATTCTTTTAAATATCGTTTAAATCTTCATTTTTCAAGGAAAATATACAATTTAAATCAGGTTTTGTTTCTCTATTCAAATTGTCAAGACATTTCCATTTTTAACTTCTAATAATTAATTGCCGTCATTATGGTTTAGGTGTCAGAGGCGTACATTGATTACGCGCAGAAGTGTGAAGTAATCTTTGGAGCCCAGCGAGATATAGCTCTCCAACTACCTGATGTTACAGATAGAGATATCCAGGATATCAAGTATACAGGCTCCGGAGCAACTATGCAGGCGGTAGCTAAGGCTAAAGATAAGATAAAACGGTTCCGTCGAGCCCGGAGTTCCACCTCGGTTCCAACTGTAGGGACTGTTGATGATCTGCCCCCGCCGTATTCTGAAAACCCGCCGGTCAACCCGTTTTACAACGAGTATTTGCACAGTGTAGACGGAGGGAATGTCTCCTTGAACTCTAGTAGGCGAGGAGACGAGTCTCCAGGAGATGGTAGACCTCTAGTAGGATCTCCTCTACATCCTCATCAATATCCTTTTAACCAACCATATTCACCTCTAGGACATCCTCCGCTCTATCCCCTGCATCTTGATCAAAGAACACCAACCTATCAGGTTTAAATAAAAATAATTTTTAAAATATGTTATCTTACCTTTTACTTTCTATGGTATTTTTCTTCATAGTTTTTCTAATTCAATCTTTTTAAAATCTTGTTACGGGATTTTTCATTTCATGGATGAGTTCGATCACTTGTTTCCCTTTTATCATGAGAAATTACCTTATTATATTGTTGAAACCAGTTTTTTTTTAACATCAAATACAGGGCTCCTCTAATGGAAGTAATTGTAATTTAATTATAAAGAATAACAAAAAAATTTTAAAAACAAACGACTAATGATTTTTTAATTTTGTTTTGTTTGCCCATTTCCCAATTAAGTCAATAAACACTCCTTACACGAAAGGACATTGAGTGACTGACATAAAATATCGAATCTTCTATAAATCTTCATGGAAAAAATTGCCTTATTGCCCTTAAAAGACTTTCTTTCTGTATACTCTATTTTTTATCAATAACTTTGCAATGTTTAGGAAAGTAGCCCGCCCTATCAGGTGCAGGACCAGTTTAGTCACGTGACCCGGCGCACCCCGCAGCAGCAGGTCGACCCACTCAACTACGTGACCCGGCGCACTCCGCAGCAGGATCAGTTTAGTCACGTGACGCGCCGTTCCCCACTGATGCGACGCAACAGTTACTTCTCCGATGCCGAGGATGTTACAGAGGCCATCTCTAGTATCAACCTCAGCCTCAATAAGAGATAAAAATTTGTTGATCTTAGATTGTCAAATCCGATGGGGAAATGTCTTTCCATAAAATACACTTGAAATGAATTTTAAAAAATTTAGATTCCGAGAAAAATGATTTTATAAAAGATAGTTTATTTACTAGTCAATGTTTTATACAACGCAACCGTCAAGCTTTTTCATTCCTTCCATTTTATAACTACGCCTTTATCCCTGCGTTTTTATAGCTTTAAATATGTCTTGCTAAAACTCTGATAGAAACACAACAGTAGACACACATATTTCATTATATGTGGATAATATGCTTCACCCCTTCCCTCCTAGTCCTCAAGAATAAATTTTTAATAAAAAATTTTGTCGAAAAAGAAATTTAAACAAAAATAAATCTTTTTCCGATTTGGAAATTCTCAATACTCTCAACCTAACTTTAAAAAGAATATTTTTGTTTATTTTAACATTTTGCTACAAAACGACAGCAATATTATTTCCTAAAACATATCTACAAAAGAGTGAAAATACGATATTTAAGATGCATCACTTTTTATAAGCTTTCAATTGTCATTGTATCCTGTTAAGTGTTTTATATACGTGTATTAAAACGGAAGATTATTATTGCTTTACTCATGACTATAGTTCTGATCATGATAACGCTTTGTAAATATGTCAATGTACTGTTTTTGTGTTTTATTTTGTTTACATCTGGCTGAGAATCAATGTTGTGAAATTATATATACAATAAATGAATTTTTGTTACTAATAAAAAACCCATTCTATTTGAATTGATTTCAGATGTCCAGAAAATGAAATTGTTTGTTTTTGCCCGAAGTTCTCCCGTTTTCCAGTCTTCATCACCAAATATAGATATTTTTGTATCTTGAGTCAAACCATGAAACATGAGTGAAGGAAAGGATAGGGTTGGAGAAATATTTGAGGATGTAGAAGTACACACAGTTATTGGTAGATCAGGAGGCATGTCGGAGATTGGAGGGATCCCGGAGAATGTAAATGCTGAAGGGCTCCCGGAGGATAAAAGTGTTGGAGGACTCCCGGAAGATGAAAGTGCTGGAGGGCTCCCTGAGGTTGAAAGTGCTGTAGGGCTCCCTGAGGTTGAAAGTGCTGGAGGGCTCCCTGAGGTTGAAAGTGCTGTAGGACTCCCGGAGGAAGTTAAGAAGACCGGGTATCTTCTGGCTGAGTTTAAGGAGCGGATCTGTGACTGTATAGGATTAGTTTGCAAGATGGAGAACCGGGATAGGATAGCGGTGTGTATTTATTGATAACTAATAATGACCAAGGTTGAAAAAGGAAGCGCCACGACTTTTTAGTATAAAAATAGTTGCGCTTTTTCCAAACTGATACATCTGTCATTAAGACTGTTCCCTAAATTAAAAAAAAGTTTGTCGGATTACCAATCTGAAAGTTGTCAAAAAACATTTCAAATATTATTAAATTTCATTTGTATATTTCAGGCAGTACAATTCTGGAACGAAGTTTCTGAACGTCTTCAGACCGTCCTGGATAAATCCGTTGGTCTTACTCTTGAAATTCAAAACAAACTGGAGGACGGGTTCATCAGTCCTCTATCCAGGGAGGTGGTGAAGGGACTCCGGAAGGAAGTGAATGACCTCGTGCTCGATCATGTTGATGATGGGGGCTGTGAGGACGAGGTTGAGGGGGAAGAAGATCATATTGGGTAAGAGAACTAGAGAACTAAATGTACTGTTTCAAATAAATTTATAATTTCGGCATGAAAAAAAGTGGCTGAAACATACTTCACAAGCCAATGTTAATTTTAGGGGTGGTTAACAGTGGTGTTTTATTGTTTTCATTAAAATTAAGTTTTTAAAGAGATTTTTTAAAACTATTTTTTTAGTGGTGATAAGAAGTTGGTGAATTACATTATACTTGAAGATCCACAGGTACCTTTACAACCCCACTCTACACATCACAGGTACCTTTACAAACGTATTCCACACTTCACCGGTACCTTAAGATTTAGAAACACATACACACATCACTTCATAGGTACCTTGATAAACCTACTCCACACTCCACGTATACCTTGAGATTTACAAACCTTTTACACACTCCACATGTACACTCCACATGTACTTGGAGATTTACAAACCTACTCCACACTCTACAGGTATGTACCTGGAGATTCATAATCCTGCTGCACAGGTACCTGGGGCGTGAGGTTGTGGAAAGGAAATGGGCTAGAAAACATTTTTAAATAATTTAGAAAGTTATCTAATTTATAAACTGATAAGAATAAAGACCAAATTATTTGATATAAGAGAACTGAAACTCGCTGTTATTTAAACATATCATTCAGGGGTCGAAAGAGTTTTCTGTGAAAAATGAACCGGACCAGAAGTATTTTTTTCTAGGAACCATTAATATTAAAATATCGTTTCAAATGTATAGAATCAAAAATATTTTTTTTCTATTTATCATACTACATTTATTATAAAAATTTTCATCTTTATTCCATTTTTTCATGTATAATGTATGGATTACACCTAGGACAGGGTGTTAACGAAGAAAGTAAAACCTTTCATTCTCAGTAGATTCCAGCCATTGGTTTATAAACAAAACAAAAATGTTCATGAGATTCAACTTTATATTTTTTTATCATCAAATCGTAAAAAAAAGGTCAATTAACTCTTTTTACAATATTATTGTGCTAGAACCAGACAATAGACTTGAAGAAGAACTAGAGTTAGATGAGGTTCAGGTAGCCCAGCATGATAGAGTGCTTGATTAGAAATCTTTATTATTATATTCGTCCATTTGAAATAAATATTAGATACTTCAAGACAGGGGCGGATACAGGGGGGGGGGGCAGGACCTTTCAAGGGCTATCCCCCCCCCCCTCAGAATAGCTTCTCAACAGCACTAAAGGGAAAGAAACCCTATTGCAGAACAGAAAAAAAAATATCTATCTTTAAAAAATTTGTCGCCTGCGCCGCGTCTTTATTTGTTCCGAAATAAATCTAGCACCATCCTCACTTAAATCCTGTATCCACCCCTGCTCAAATGATTGCTTTGACTGGACCATTTTTATTAATGTTATAAACAAGATTCAAGAGTGGTTAAGTTTATATTTTCCAGTGAGATGGTATGTTTTTTTTTACGNGGGGGGAGAGAAGGTTGTTTATTTTAACGTCCTCGACACGAGTTTTCTTGTATTTTTTATGAAAAATAATTGTAGGATGATGAAGAAAAAGACGGAGTTAGGGAAATTGCATACGAGGACGAGGGAGAGGAGGATGAAGAAGAGGTGGAAGGGGAGGGGGAGGAGGAGGACGGAGTTCCGAAAGAGAAGTTTCTAGTTCTCCATGAAACCCAGTTGAGTGTTAGAGATGGTGAGAAGGGTTTACTGCTCCAGGATCCTATGTTAAGACTGGAGTCCGATGATACGAATCCAGATGACGATCTCGAAGAGCTGGAGACAGAAACAAAAGATAGAGATTTCCAGGTTTTGAAGAAAAATACAAATAAAAAACGACACAAAAATTGAGGATCATATTCCCTTAGTCAACGTTTTCTTTCCCGAATAGTGCTCGCACTCAAAGTTTTACAAAATTTAAATAACTTTTTTTGTGAAAGTTGTGGGGTGGCCCGCCACAATTTCATAACAAAGCAAGGTTAAAGAGTTCGTTTTTTTCTCATTTGCATCGTTATTTACAACGAGTTGTTTGTCACTTTTCCAGTTGCAATCAAGCTAAAATGGNTGACGTACTCACAGGAGACTGTGACGTTGGTCGAATGATCTATAGATCAAAACTTTTGTGTGAAATATCGTAAATCTTGATATCGATATCCGATGTGGGCACTTTCATTTTAAGAATAAGTACTTGATCCTTCAATTAATGTTATCCCTGCAGAGTATAACCATCACTGGATATCGAAAAAGACTAAGACGTAGATCAATGCTAGATCACAACAGAAAAGTTATGACTTCAGGAAACAAATGTTGGTTCTTTATCTAACACTTGATACTAAACTATACACACACTCTTTATACTCATAACCTTCTTTCAAATATTCCTGGGTGAACTTTAAGTTCTCCATATATCTCCTGTTTATTTGTTCAGTCTGTGAAGATACGTAAGACGATGGTTCCTGGTGTTCTTAATAGTATTATATCTCAGGCTGCTAAGGAGCAGGCACGCAAATCTTTAAAAAGAAAGGTAGATATCCTTTTATGCATATAAATAAGCCATCGATCCTTCGATTTGTTATTTTTGCAACCCTGAAGTTGTTTTCAGGTTGGTAAAGGGTTTTAAAGGGATTGTAAGGGTAATTTAAAGGGTGTTAGGTACTTTCCCAAAAGGCATTTTCCCTAGGGCGACTTTCAAAGTGACAATTTCCTAAGTGGCAGCTTCCCAAATGTGCAGTTTTCCGAGCGGCAACTTTCCAAAGGTTAGGTTAGGCCCTCTGAGGCGCCGCAGGCTGCAATGGGGCCCAGCGCTGCGGCTAGGATGGGCTAGGGGGCCGAGCGCCGCGACTAGAACACACTTGGGGCTGAGATCTTGCAGTTAGGACAGACTTGGGAAGTTGTCGAGTAAGAAATTGCACATATGGGAAGTTGTCACTTGGGAAAATACCTTTGGTAAGTTGCCACTTGGGAAAAATTATTTTATACTGTGGTTTCTCTACATGAGTGGCTTGTGCATTTCTACTGCTGGCAACATAAAGAAGTTATCAGAATTAAGTGCTTAGAAAACATACTTAGAAAAACTTTAATTTCTTTTACATTATTAGTCAGATAAAGGTTTAGAGGGTACCATTGTAAATAAGACATATCCGTTCTTACATGGAGGATCAATTAAACTCCTTAAACGCCCTGAATATAACAGAATGATCTGATTTATTAATGTTATGTTTAGATGATAAGGAATGAGACTGGAGAGGTAGAAACTATTTATGAATGTGAGATTTGTCTAAAAACTTTCACCTCATTCTTTGCATTCACTGCTCACAAGTAGGTTTTATTTTTTACTTTATCATAATTAATAATATTCAAATCCCCCCCCCCCCCCTCGGTAAATTAATTTTATTAAAGAACTAAGTAAACACATTCAGACTTTTTAGGAAATATATTTTGGACATCCTACATAGTATACAAAGTCTTTGATTATTTTCAATCTTATGAAAAGAATTTTCAGTTTTTTCGACAGCAAAAACAGCTAACAAATTATTTGAAGTATTATATTTTTCCGAAGAATCTGCTTGTGGTTTAAAAATGTACAATTGTTACAAGACGAAAAATGACTTGGTTTTTTTACAGCTGGCAGCACACCAAACCCTTCAAGTGTCTCACATGCAACCAGTGCTTCTCTACTAAGGTCTGTTTTCTCTTATTCTTAAAAACATCAAGTACATTAACTACAATTAGTTTTATGCTATTTACCCCCTAATATAATTTTTTTCATCTCATTTCCCCTCTTTTTTGCGATATTAAACTGTTACGATTTGGCCGCTTTGCAGTGATTTTACAGATGTTAACTTTAAAAAAAATTGGGAGGGGGTGACGATTTTACAAGTTAAGAAAATGCTTTACTCAGGGATCCCTAAGTATCCACAACCGACGCCATACTGGAGAGAAACCATTTCAGTGCAAACTCTGTGATGCTAGTTTTACTACTCAAGGTAATTTATGTGCTGAAACATGACTTTTTATATGTCGTACGTTTTGAATTTTCATGACACAACTAAGTCTCAAATTTGAAAGTGTCACTATATATTTTCTAAAAAAGTGAAGAAAAAACACCTGCAAATAAATTTATTGTGTTTTAGAACAATATCAAAACCAGATTTTAAACATACATAATAGAAAGGATATTTCATTATCCTTGAAAAGCCCTAAATCCACCTTTCCTTGCAGGGAAGGTTTGTCATTTTTATCAACTCCAATATGTTTATTTTAGGCAATCTTAAGCGTCATAGTTTGGGACATACAGGCTCTAAACCTTATGCCTGCGATATCTGCAGCTCAAGGTTTACGGAAAAGAAATCCCTGAAGGTTCACATGAGAATTCACACAGGAGAGCGTCCCTTCCACTGTGAGTTGTGTGATCAAAAGTTTGCCCAGCGAAGCACATTAAAAAGTCACATGACAGTTCATAACAAGAAGAAACCTCATCTATGTGATCTATGCGGAAGATCCTTTTCCCAGAAGTCGAATTTAAAAGCTCACAAAACAAGACATTTTAGTCAAAGAAACTTCCATTGTGATTATTGTGACTGTAAATTTCACAACAAGGGTGATTTGATGAGACACATGAAGGGACATGTTGGACTCAAGGATTTATCCTGCACGGTCTGCTTTAAAGTGTTTACAAGGAAAAATACTTTGACAGAGCACATGAATAAACATTATGATATAAAACCCTGGGAGTGTATACGGTGTAGTATAAAGTTTCACACTAGAAACCAGGGTAAACAACATCTCAAGGAGAAAGAAGGGGACGGATTCCACAATCATGAAGCATTGGAAGAAGATTTGCTCAGGAAACTTCAAATCTCATTCTCAGAGAAGCAGGTGAATACAAAACCAGATATAATTGGTTGAAACCTTTCAAGAACCGTAATCTTTTTAAACTTTTAATTGTGGCTTTATCTGTGAGCGGCTTCAATTGAACATCTTCTCTTTGTACAGTATAAAAAAAATAAGAAAAGTTTGCGGATTTTATAGTATTTTTTTTGCACAATTTCAAAATTTTACAAAATTAAAAAAACTTTTAAACAAAAATTTTTGAAATTTTGATCATTCAAAAATCTTCCCTGGGGTCACGTGATCCCACACAAAATTTGGTCCTGATCGGTTCAGCCGTTTTGACGTTTATTGGATAAACAAACAAACAAACAGACACCCAAGCTAAATTTATATATAGATGAGCTTTAAGTTTCTCAAGCAATCTGTTTTTAGGCACTTTGTCAAAAGCCTTGGAGAAATCTAAAAATATAATGTCCATAGAATGATCTTCATCCTGCAGGCTGGTTATAGCTTCCGAAAATTCCAATAAAACCATGTTGACTGGGGTTAAAAAGATTATTTTTCTGTAAATAGTTGACAATTTTATCCCGTAAAAGAGACAAGAGAAGTTAATAAAATCCTGAGGGGATTTTGGCTATTAGAAGGGATCATCCTCAATGTGTCCCATCCTCGGGTCAGCTCGGTCAATCTAGCTAGATTTAAAAAGGCAGCAGTATTTGGGTAAAAATATATTTAGTACACCGTACACAAAAACAATCGACCATACACAAGTATCCTAGTTCCTAGAAAATATTCTTTAAAAAAGCAAAATGTGATGAGAAGATAAAAAAGTGTCTATAAATCACAGCTAACTAAATGAGTTTGTCAAGTGTCTAAATATCACTTCAGCAAGTGACTAGTGTCAATATCACTAGTTAAACTGAAAACTTCTAAAATTTTGATTAGTGGGAGATTTTTAGGAACTACTTACTAAACTTTTCTTACAACTTCTAAAATTTTAACTTGAGGGAGATTTTTAGGAACTTCTTACAAAACCTTTTATATGAGGTGCAGTACAGTCAAAACCACTTCCATTCAAGATCAGCCATTTTGGGCCTCCTCACTGTCTTATAGAAAAAATAGACAAATTTTTTCAAGAGAAGCTCGGCATATGAAAGACCTCTTTTAGAAGTGAATCTAGCGTAACATTGTTGACTTTTATAGAGAAAAATCCAGGCAAAGCTGGGTTCCCAAGTTAATAATGGATAAAGTTTTTAATTTATTGAAGTTTCTAAGAATTTTAAAGGTTTACCAAGGACTGAAATCGGATGTTTTTAATATATTTCATTATTAACACATTATCGGTTTTTTGTATTTTTTTAATCATTCTTTCACAGAGCGGGAAATTTTTCTAAAAAAAATTAATAATTTCAGGTTGTTAACATGGAAGTATTGGACCCTGAGGATGATGTAATTGGAGATATGATGGTTGATGAGCAGGAGGGAGTAGAAGACGGGGTTGAGGAGGGAGTTGAAGAGGAGGTTGAGGAGAGAGTGCAGGAGGCAGATCAGCTTCAAAATCCACCAAGCTAAATTACAACATGAGAGTCTCTGCTGGACGAAAGATGACCGTAATGTTGCAAAGCAGAACCTAAATATATCGAAGAGCATACAGAAAACATCTTTGATCGTTCATTAATCACTGTACACTGTGCACTGTACACTGTACACTGTACACTGTACTACAGGGACGGAAATCAAACAAATATATCTTCATCTTTTATAAACTGTGATATTTAAGTAATTTCAGAGATAAAATGGGGATTATTGAGGAGGATGAAGACTCTCTTGTTTCCCCACAAAAGAATCAGGCCTGGGCTAAACCGACAATTATTAGAAGGTATTCTTTTCTTTTCTTGATACTGTCGTCTTCTTTGTTATTGAATTGAAAACATAATTTTACATTTTTAAACTAAATAATTGAATTCTAATTTTGATTCTAAATCTAAAAACAGAACACTGAATTCTAATTCTGATTCTAGATCTGAAAACACTGAATTCTAATTCTGATTCTAAATCTAAACACAGAACACTGAATTCTAATTCTGATTCTAGATCTGAAACACTGAATTCCAATTCTGATTCTAAATCTGGAAATATTGAATTCTAATTCTGATTCTAGATCTGAAAACATTGAATTCTAATTCTGATTCTAGATCTGAAAACACTGAGTTCTAATTCTGATTCTAGATCTGAAAACATTGAATTCCAATTCTGATTCTAGATTTGAAAACACTGAATTCTAATTCTGATTCTAGATCTGAAAACATTGAATTCTAATTCTGATTCTAGATCTGAAAACATAATTCTAATTCTGATTCTTGATCTGAAAACACTGAATTCTAATTCTGATTCTAGATCTGAAAATACTGAATTCTGATTCTATATCTGAAAATACTGAATTCTGATTCTAGATCTGAAAACATTAAATTCTAATTCTGATTCTAGATCTGAAAACATTGAATTCCTATTCTGATTCTAGATCTGAAAACACTGAATTCTTTTTCTGATTCTAGATCTGAAAACACTGAATTCTGATTCTAGATCTGAAAACACTGAATTCTAATTCTGATTCTAGATCTGAGAACGCTGAATTCTAATTTTGATTCTAGATCTGAAAACACTGAAGAATCCACTGATGAAAGAGTAGAAATATATTTCGAGCTGATTAACAATATAAAGATGGTTCGCTGTCCATTCTGTTCAATTCAACCGTTCACATCTCAGATTAAACTCAGGTAGGTAGCGAACACAAGTTATTCAGGGTTCAGTCAGTAAATAGCAAGAAGTGGTTTAACTAGATATGGCTATTGGTTAGTTCTTAAGTTTGCTTTAGTCACACCTGAGAAGAAGTTTAAGTTTGTACTCTATTCTACTTCTTCTCGTTCTGCAGTAATTAGTATTTTCTCACTCTCCCCTACCTCTAAAAGTTTTTGACTAATTAAAAAGAATGGATCCATGTCAGGTTTCTTTTCTTGACAATAAACCACGGATAAAATATACTAAAATGCAAGTACAGGGGTCGCCAGAATAAAATTAAATAAGAGGGTGATCTGAAGTCATATTTGTTTAAATATTTTTCTGTTCACCAATTTGTGTTATTCAAGTTTAAAATATATTAACCAGTGTTTGGGATTTGTGTTTAGTCTAAAAGTCGTCTTCGTCTGTTTTAAGTTCCAGTGTTGTCATTGTATTTATTTTAGAAGACATTTAAAATCCAACCATGCCGAGAGGAAAACCTTTATACAAGGATCGGTCAGAAGTTTACCATCTGTTTTTGTGAGCGTGGAAACGTCTGAACCAAATACCGATCTTCTCACAGAAAAACGACACCGGCACACTGAAAACTCTAAAGGTAAATTCGATGGAAATTTTTCTTTTTTTTCTGAGTCGTTACTTTTATCTACACTAGTCCCAAAATTTCTTAATGTAAACTTTTTTAATAATACATTATTATTATTATTATTATTTACGATCTACCTATAGAGAAAGTACCATGACCTGTAGTTTAAAATACCATGAAAACAGGGTTGAGCTCCGCCACTTGCCTCTGGTTTTAATGATTCCATGGGATCTAGTAAATAGTAAAATAGGACCTTAGCATATGAACGAAATTAGAATGTAAATATAATTTTGAAACAATTTTAGGTTCTTCAGATATGGTATCAGTAGAGTTAATTGATGAAACAACCAATGAATCGACGGCTGTAGAAAATAAGAAAAGAAAACATGTTGAAGACACATCAACTTCAACTTCAACTAAATTAAAGAAATCTCGTCCTCTACTCGATCCTCTTATGCATGTCACCGGGGGTAAGAGAACCAAGAAGGACAAAGAGGACAGTTCTGAGGACGAGGACTGGAAGGAGGAGAGAAAGAAGGATGAGGACTGGGGAGAGGAGAGGACGAATAATATTGACGTTGAGCTGGAGGACATGTTTGAGGACAATGACACGGTTAGTTCTTCTTTTAAATATAAAATATCCTTTCGTCATTAAAAATATAACTTTAGTAAAAGGGAAAGGTTACGAAAAATAAATCTAGATCGTATTTTTTTAGGATTGTATCGATCTTAAAGGGACTGTAAGCGTAAATATCAATGTTTATAATTTGCAAAACTGATCATGTTCAATTATGGTTTCTCTACAATAGTGACTTGTGAATTTCTACTAGAGGAAAACATATAAGATTTATTATCAGAATCACTTTTAAACTTAGAAAAATGACAATAGCTTCCACATTATTGATCAGATAAAGTTTTCAAGGGTATCGCTTTTAATCGGGCACTGCGATCTTTACCTGGAGGGTCACTTGAAATGACGCTTACAGTCCCTTTAATTCTTAATTACAGTCCCTTTAATTCTTAATTACAGTCCCTTTTAATTCTTAATTACAGTCCCTTTCATTCTTAATTACAGTCCCTTTAATTCTTAATTACAGTCCCTTTAATTCTTGGATATACTGTCAGGAATATGGAGGGCAGGAATTTAGTCTAAAATTGTCGAGGGAATGAACGTTCATTTTGTATACTAGGAAGGAGATTATTGTGGGGTTTGCTGTAGTCTCCTGAACCCTGAAACCTTGAGATTATCAGCAGAGTTAGTGGACGGAGAATCTCTAGCTGCAGTTATTAGTTCAGTTCTAGGTCAGTCATTTTAAAGTTCAACTCAAAATATTTTCTTAGTTGTATATTTGGCTGATTGTAAAAAGTTTATTTTTTGACATATTTTCATTCCAGGCCAAAGAAACCCACCTTGTCCCCACACAAAATGAAATTTTATAACTTTAACAAGAGTTTATTTGAAGATCTGGAGATGACCGAGCCCCATTTATGCGAGGGGTGTGAGGATCTGAGCTCAGAGATATCCCGAACTAGGGTTGAGCTTCTCAAGATTCAGGAGAACCTTAAGACCAGTATCAGTAAACTCAAGTATGTTCACTGTTTTCCGGATCCATCTAAACTCCAGACTCTCAACTCATTTTTGAATTTTTGATTTATTCCATCATATAACCTTCAAATAGTTGCGGTTTTTAAAACCGCCCCATATCATTTTTAATTAATTATTCGGGGTATAGTAACTATCATGATGAACCTAACCTTACCTTTTGATCTGCTTTGCAGAATATTTTGATTGTTAATAATAGCAATTCAGATCTTGTCCAAACCCCAGTTTTTATCGGATTTTTAGGTATTGCCGAAGTATTTTATTTGACCCTTTTTTGCGTCATAATCGAAAAGTAGTATCTAAGAAATGTTTCTTTTCGTCCCAGGAATAAATCTTCTCCGACTAAATCACGATTCCTCTACATGATTTTTAAAAGATTTTTAAACCGTTTAATCGTCAATTTTAAAGTTTTTAATTATGTCAATTAACTTTTATTCTTTCCTATTATTACGCCCGTTAATTAACCACCACTACTGTAGGATGATTTGTTATTTTGTGGAGGTTTAATAAACCGGAGGCAACTTCTGATCATTTCTTTGTAATTTAATTCCACAAACAAACTGTGATGTAAATGTATCCCGTCTACGGACCGATAATAAGGATAACTTTAAGGTCGTACTACTGATACAGCAGTATACCGTACTTTTATATCTCTCAGTCAACCCACTCAATTCACAATTTTCACACTTTCCTGTTCCCCAATTTAATTTGGAGGCAAATCGGTCAATGAGTTTCTGGGTTATGATCAGACATATAAACAAACAGAGATTACTACTTTATATATAAAGTTATTTACTATTTCAATCAAATATCTTATTAACCATGTTATTGTGTTCAGGGACCTGTACCAGGTAGGACGAAGTATCCTGGAGGAGGATCTAGGAGAGGCTGGAGTAGGAGAAGAACTCATTAATATTCGTCTTGTAGCAGATCCAGGACCTCCAATACGAACAGCAAGATATCTAGGTCAGCCAATAGTAGAAAAGACATAAAAATTAAATTTTGTAATGCTAAATCCCACATTTTTTATTGATATGTGAAAAGAATTATTCTTTTAGTTTTCATTTTACCCTTCAAAGCTTTGTCTATTTTTTTAAATTGTTTATTAAAATGTTTTTCTTTGCAATGGTGACAATTTTTGTTCATAAGAAGCAATGGAGAAATCAGACATTTCTATCTTTGCATGGAGGGTCCCTTGAAATTATTTAAAGGTGAAATAATAAGTTTTAAGGAAGGGATTGGAATGAGTGAAAGAAATACAAAGTATGTGATCAAAATGTTGGTGGCATTTTTTTGTAATGTCAGGTCTTTGTGCTATACTAATTTGAACTATATGCTTCTTAGGTTTGATTTAAAATACCATCTACATTCTATAATTTTGTATTCTTTAGGATTTACGACCGGGTCTTGTTACCGAGGACGGATAGTTCCTAAAGATGAACTTGTAAAGGATGATGGATCCTGTGTAGAAGAACTAGAAATACAGGACGAAGATTCATGTCTATTCCTTACCCAGGAGGAGTGGGCCAGCTCAGGGATAACGGTTTGGGACGGACGGGTTCAGGTTCCTCAGGGTCTAGTGGTCGGAGCTGCGGTTGGTAAACATCGTCCTAGGTTCTCCTTTTCCCGGGGAACCTGTCAGGAGACTCTAGATCAACCCTTTCTTTGTCTGGACTGTGAGGAAAGATTTCAACGACTCAGTGATTTAATGGATCACTCTGAGTCCCATGAAGGAACTAAGTCACTAAACCTGTTCTCTGATCTTGAATGCTCGGAAACAGATCTGCTCCGGTGTCAGGAGGACGAGGATATACTTCCTGAGATACTGTTTCAAGAACAAGATCTTGTAAACAAGTTTGAGAAGATAAAACGGGATCTAGACGACCAGGATGCGAGGAGATATAAGCTTGAATTCAAAGCATTTATGCACAGGGAGCAGTTTAAAGAGTTCTTCAATGATGTTCCAACCCTGGAGAAACCATTCCAATGCTCAGAGTGCAATAAAGTCTTCGCCAGCGCACAGGAGCTCTGGGGACACCAGGTTTTATTTATCATTTTAGGCTGTTTTGAATTGGCCAATCAAATTAATTTGTTTTATCTTTTGTCAAAATGTCTTCCAGGGTGGGGATGCGCATAGATTAAGAAAAAGTAAAGTTATTGGTAATGAGCCTAAAACTCGAATTTTCTAATCCCTATATCTTCGCAAGCCAATGTTGTGGACCTTAAATATTTCATCATATTTCTATCTATTAAATCAATTTATTTAAGTTTGAGATATCTAAGATTTACACCATTAGGTTGCAAAAATGTAGGGATTATAACATGTGATTTTTTGGCAAAGACTCGATTTTTTTCAGAGGGCAAAAAAGAATTTTAAAAAAATTAGAACGATTGCAAATTGTTGGGTTTTATAAAATAATTTTTTCTAAAACACGCAAACCATGTTTTCAGGTTAGTGTTGGAAGTCAGACCTTCGACTGTAATTTCGGGGACTGTCGAGAAATCTTTATGAAACTGCCGGACTTTGCTGTTCACTACGCACAGCACGCCGGTCACACCCTACACATTCCTCCAGATGCAGCTGGTAAGAAGGTTTTAAACATTCCCTGTCCTATATGTGGAACTGTAGTGCCTGGACTTTATAAACTCCAGAGGCACAAGATGAGACATGACCCGGAGAGAAAATACAAGTGTCCGGCCTGTTGTAAACAGTTCGTAAAAGCAAACACCCTGAGAAAGCATATTTCTAACGTGCACAGAGGCGAGAAAGCACAGAAGGATGAATTTATTGACTGTGATAAACCTGTGAGCCCTGAGCCCCTGCTGGAAGGGCGTGTGGTTACTAGCCATGCTATATTTGCTGAATATGAATGTGCTACGTGTGGTAAACTTGAAGACTCAATGGAGAAACTAAAAGAACACGAGATAAGGAATCATTCAAACTTTGACTCTGTTCAACAACAGAAGTAAGTGAAAACATAAATTTAGAACAATTTGCTAATTTTTAAATTTTCTTCTTATTTTAGAAAATGTTCAAAGTGTGGCGACGATGTGTCGGAGGTTGAGTACTTTGGAACTTGTTTAAAATGTAAACCTAAAAAGAAAGCCTGGCTCCGGAGCTCGTGTCCTGAGTGTGATGTAGTGTTGAAGGATGGGGGGAGACTGTCTGATCACTTTACAACTGCTCATCCTGGTGTATCCGCTAGGTTTCAGTGTAGTGAGTGTGAACTCAGACTGCTAACTCTTCAAGGCTGTAGGAAACATTATAGGTTTGTATTTATTTAGGGTGGATTTAAACCATGATGGTTTATCCATGCTTGCGACTTCCCCATTAAACGCCTAAACTCATTAATCTTCTAAGCTTCCAGCTAATATTCTAGGATATCATAGACTCTACCATCTACATCCTCCGTTGTATGATCGTTGATTTGCAATTAAAAGAAATTCAAATTTTAAGAGTTTTTTTTATTCAACATGGATTATCAGTAGAAAAAAATAATTTTTGAACGATTTTTTTAGAACGATGCATCCTGGAGTTCCTTTAACCTGTCTACTCTGTAAACAAACCTTCTCCAAGGAGTTCTCATTACACCAACATCTCTCCTCCAGTCATCAGGACGTTATTGGTTCTCCTCCTCATCCTGGTTCTACAGTTCATTGCAAGTAGGTTACATTTTCAAGTTTGGAGAGAAACAGAAACTTAGAAGAATTCTTAAAACCTATCTTTACAAAATATAAAGATCATCCTCACCAATGCTATTAGTAGTGCAGGCAAAATAAATCGTCATTTGCATGTGCTTTTCAAATTTTGCTGCTAAATAAATTTTGTATTTCGTGGGTTAAAAATACTTGATGTGTCTAAAACAAATCTAACTGAAAGGACCTGTAAAGTATGAACGTAATTTTAAATGATTCTCCAATTCCGATTCTAGAATGTATGATTATTTTCAATCGTGGTTATTCTATAAAATTGACTTGCGGATTTATGCTTCTAAGACAAAGAGGGAAATTATCAACATTTTGCAAACATAAAGATAGAAAAACGACAATATCTTACTGTTACTCAGATAGAGGTTACTAGCATTAATCAGACATATTACTCGACTCTATTGGAGGTTCACATTAAATTCAGACTTCAGCCCCTTTAGGCTTAAAGTTCTCTTGCAGTTCTCTATATATTAATGACCCATTTTTATTTTAAAATTGATCAAGTTAATTATTCTGATATCTAGGCTTTGTAAAGATACCTTCAGCACATATATGGAGATGGTCATTCATACTCGGCATAATCACCTAGTTGAGTCTATTGATATGTCTAATCTACCCTCATTAGATCAGGTAATGAATGGTCTATTGATATGTCCAATCTACCCTCATTAGACCAGGTAATGAATGGTCTATTGATATGTCTAATCTCCCTTCAATAGATCAGGTAATGAATGGTGTATTGATATGTCTAATCTACCCTCATTAGATCAGGTAATGAATGGTCTATTGATATGTCTAATCTACCTTCAATAGATCAGGTATTGAATGGTCTATTGATATGTCTACTCTACCCTCATTAGATCAGGTATTGAATAGTCTATTGATATGTCTAATCTACCCTCATTAGATCAGGTAATGAATGGTCTATTGATTTGTCTAATCTACCTTCAATAGATCAGGTAATGAATGGTCTATTGATATGTCTAATCTACC